AATAAACAAATTGTAGTATATCCATACAATAGAATACTAAGCAATAAAATGGAACAAACTATTGATAACTTCAACTGCATAGATGAATCTGCAAATAATTATGCTGACTGAAAGAATACAGACGAAAAGTAGTGCATAGTATATGATTCCAATTTTACAAATTTTTTGAAAATATAAACAGAAAGCACATCAGTGGCTGCCTGGGATCAGTTTGGGGAGCCACTGAGAAGGTTATTACAAAGGGCCATGAGGAAACTTTTGGAGGTGATGGTGGTGATGAGTAGGTGATTGTGGAGATGGTTTTATGAGTGTATATATGTGTCAAAACTCACTAAATTGTACATTTTAAATATGTTCAACCAGTTATACCTCAATAAATCTTCTTGTAAAGCCCAGGGTCATCAGGCCCATAAGTTGTGCATTTCTGCCATAGAGCTGTCTATAAGCTCCATGGTGTTCAATCTAGTGTTCTCAATGGGAATCAACCAAATACATAGAGTGACCAATGTTAACATGTCAGCAGAATATTGATGTCTCACATTTTAGTATAAATCTTTCCCTTATCAAACTCCTAAGGAGAAAATGATGTCTATACATTAAATTTATTTCAAGTAAATGTCCAAAGACCAAAAATTTGAAACCCAGAATCAAATTCTCTTGCCATCGTAAGGTGAAAGTTCAACAAAATTAAAGGCATTCCCAGTCTTTTATTTCATTCACTCACAGCCAGAAATGCTCTTAATGCCTAGGTGGATTTCTTAGCAGCTGCAGCCTAGGTGTCTTCCTTAAACATGAATATGACTCATTCAGCTCTGCAAAAGTCAAATTAATTCTACTTTCAGTCTATGGTATATCTCAATTTTTAAAAGCCACGAAGAATTAATACAACACCCGAGGTAATCACACTTGCCGCATACATACTACATTTAAGGGGTAGTTATCCTGTACGTTATGCTCCCCAAAACCAGTAGTTTTTATTGCCAAAGACAATACTTGTATGCAGCAGAATCTATAAAGTAAAAACTCATGGATCTGTAGGAAGGATAGCTGGCGATGGCTTTAGCTTCATCAGAATGCTAGTCACATGACCTGCACACAAACTAAATTTTAAGAAACTTGTCAGCAAGAAGTTAAATTTATCACTACATACATAACATGGCACACTATTTTCTCTTTCAGAATGGCATTTGAGACACATGTCGCAAAGTATATAATTTACGGTGGTGCAGTCCCAATCATCAGGTCTCCTTGACCTGGTTCTGATCTTTCTCATTTAGGATTTTCTAAATCTCTTTACATTCAAAATTTTCTTTTACACTGCATTTCAATGACTGGCATGACCAGTTTAGACCTTGAGCTTCTCTAGAACTCTTACTTGCATTCACGGCATCTGCCTTGAAGTTTAAAAGCAACAAATACAGATATAGTCATTAATCTATGAATATTCTTTTTTTCTTTTCTATCGTTAAATCAGTACCTCAAATGAGAATGCTTTCTGGTGTCTCTGCGGCATCTGAGTAGGCCCCTGCTGCTCATACGTGCATATTTAATGTAGGTCAAGGTCAAACTGCAGCAGCCTGCATTTGATGCTGCCTACACACCCTAGTGCCTTTGCTGATGCCAGAACAGCCAGAGTAGCTTGCTAAGCCTCACCTTGGGTCAGCATCTGCTGAGGCCATACAGGAGGCCAGCATTTGGGTGAGGCCCACTCCCACATTCTGTGCCTTTGCCGAAGCTTCTATGTCTCTACCACCCACACCCACATCTTGCTTCTTTGTTGAGGTCTGCACACCTCTGCTGAAGGCCCAGTATTGCACCCTCTGTAGGAAAGCAATTTCCTGTGGACAAAGGTACCACAAGTAGGTCAAAATCCCATGTGCCTTAGGCTTAAAGTCTCTTGCCAAAACCACAGCAAGTAGAGGCCTACTGCACACTTACAGAAATCAAATTAATGGCCCAATATAAGCCACTACAAACTACCAAGATCAAAACCCCTAGCACACACATTAAAACCTGAAGCCTGCAACCACAAATTCCGGCCATGCCAAAGCCTCTCTGCATGTATATTGTGCTCCTTCAAATTTTATTCCTGTTTCATTTCCTGATATCCTGACTGTATTAGTCCATTTCTGTTGCTTCTAACAAAATACATGGAAACTGGGTAATTTGTAAGAAAACAAAATTTATTGCTTACAGTCTCAGAAACTGGGAAAACCAAAGTCCTGGGAACACAGTTGGTGAAGGCCTTGGCAGTGGCAAGAGCGACCCAGGGGTCTCACATGGCAGAAAATGGAAGAGCAAGCAAACTCCTCATTCATTCTCTTTTTAAAGCCCTCAGAACCACAGCCGACCACCATTTTTAATCCATTCACTAGGCATAGTCCTCAGAATCTAATCACATCAAGGCCCCATCTTCACTTACCATAATAAGGATCTCCCACCCTTCAAACAGTCACACTGGGGGCCAACTTTCTAATACATAAAACTTGGGGACACAATTCAAACTTCACTGAGTTTGGGGGAAATTCAATCCACTACAGTGACCCACGCAGCACAAATTTTAAATGTTACTTTTCCCAAAACACAGACCTCTTACCTGTTCTGTGTCCATCCTGCTCCTTCCCTTCATCAACAGAGCCTGTTCTTCACACTTTAGTTAGGAGAAAAGCAATCAAGAGTACATAGACTCTGCTGCAGTCCAGGTCCTCCTTCTAAACTTATCATTTTTTTTTCCTTTTTGTCTTTTTTCGTGACCGGTAACGGGATCGCAACTCTCGGTGTTGCGCCCGCACCGCGCTCAACCAGTGAGCGGGCCAGTCTCTATATGGTATCCGAACCCTCGGCGAGAGCGCCGCCGCGCTCCCAAGCGCCGCACTCTACCGAGTGCGCCACCGGGCCGGCCCCTAAACTTATCATTTTGATGTCACTCTACCTCCCTTGGGCAGAACAAGTCAGACAGTAAGGAGACCATGTTAGGCTGATGGTGTCCCCTCCACATGGAAGGAAATATTAAGTGTTATCCCCCATCAGTAATAATATACATATGTAAATATTTTGGGGGTATTTATATATCTCAAGCTTTCTTCCCTTTGTAATTTTCTTCATGCTATCTTTGCTTCCAATTTTCTTCCTAACTTTAAAGGCTTTTCTCAAATGCTATTTCAATCATGAAACTTTCCCCAATTTCAAGGCCCTGTTCCAATGCTTTGTGTGAGGACCAACCACCACAGAATCATCGGAGTGCCTGTTAAAACATCCATGACTGGAGCCTATCTACACTATCCAAATCTGAGGCTAGGGTCTTCAAACATGCATTTTAAGAAACTCCCTGAGTGATTCTCTGGTGCATTAAGTCTGACCTTTTGTTTTCTACCTGATTGTCACTGATTACTTTTTGCCCTGATGCCCATTTACTTCCCCATATGAACCTTGGAAGAAATGTTTAAAAAGAAAACAAAAACACCAAAACACTCCTTAACACGAACCTTACACATATTAGTGGCTGAACACAAAGTTGCAAAAATGAACTAAACTTCCACTTGTCTCTCAAAAGGAGTAGCTCTCCATGTTTTATCATCCCAAAGTGTCTAGAAGTAAAAATACACACATGAAACTATAAAGCAACTTATTAAAATATTTTACTCTTTATCATAATGTAGTCTTCACCAATGTAGCCAAATTCAGGTTTTCTGGGCTACTTATTTTAAATGTAACAGTGTATGGCAAATTTCTAAGCACTGTGGTTTTATGCAATAAAGTTCAGTGATTCCTAAACATCTCCTATTGAACTTTTAAATGCAGAGTGAACCAGTAGAATGCAAGTACTCCCTAAAATCTTAGTGCAATTTCATGTTGCATTTGTAATCATTTATAATAAAACTTCATCATGCAATGTCTTACAAGTATTATCATACAGTCCTTTTGCTTACAATGATTATAGTTAAGCCTTCCTCACTTTGCTGCCCTTGTGAGGAAGGAGAAGCAATTATCCTGGTAGTTTCTGTCAGCTCACAAGGGTACCAACAAGGGTGACAGTGACAATGTTCTTACAGTATAGGATCCTGAAAGATCTGGAAAGCTTAATTCTTGTTGTGACGCTACTGGGTTTCCATCACCATTTAAAAGATCTTACACTAACAAGCTACATACTTCCATTTAAGGGAATGTTTACAAATATCAGACTCTTGGGCCAGCCCATGGCTCGCTTGGGAGTGTGTGGTGCTGATAACACCAAGGCCACAGGTTTGGATCCCTATATAGGGATGGCCGGTTAGCTCACTGGCTGACTGTGGTGCAGATCACACCGTGCAGAAGGTTGCAATCCCCTTACCAGTCTAAAAAAAAAAAAAGTATCAGACTCTCAGTTCTTTTAAGCCAAAGTGCTTTATGAAGAGCAGCTTGTTATATGATGACAGCAGAAGGTTATTTCGGCACCCAGGTATCCTTTACCCTGGTATGTGAAAAGTCCATCCCCATGTAATGGTATTTAATTTAAAATGAATAAATAAAAAGGCCAAAGAGAATCTCTGCCTCCTTCAACATTAAATTTTAAAACCATACAGCTGATTACTAAATTGAAATATTTCATGGAAATGCTTCACTGAAAGCTCTGCTTCCTATTTTCAAAATACTTTATTTCATACAAATTTCGTATTATACAAAATTATTACATGCTTGAGTCTGTCTCCCAAATAGAAGGTTCTTCCAGTTCTTTAGGCCAATCTTCCCTCAGAGGCAAAAAATACAAGAAACAATTTATATTAGAGCATATATAGAAAGTTTTCCTTGTTATATGATGACAGCAGAAGGTTATTTCGGCACCCAGGTATCCTTTACCCTGGTATGTGAAAAGTCCATCCCCGTGTAATGGTATTTAATTTAAAATGAATAAATAAAAAGGCCAAAGAGAATCTCTGCCTCCTTCAACATTAAATTTTAAAACCATACAGCTGATTACTAAATTGAAATATTTCATGGAAATGCTTCACTGAAAGCTCTGCTTCCTATTTTCAAAATACTTTATTTCATACAAATTTCGTATTATACAAAAGTATTACATGCTTGAGTCTGTCTCCCAAATAGAAGGTTCTTCCAGTTCTTTAGGCCAATCTTCCCTCAGAGGCAAAAAAATACAAGAAACAATTTATATTAGAGCATATATGGAAAGTTTTCTTCTATAAGAACAAAAATATACTGACATTTTATATTTAGTATGGTTTAACAATCCAGTTGATTTTGACAAATTTAGTTCAGTGTTAGGAGGCACCCGCTATATGTGCAAAACATCCCAACAGACAGCAAGTATTTTAATGCTTAAGGACAAAATGTCTGATTTAATTTTTTTCTTGTATTTTTTGAAGAAGATACTCCATTTGTAAATTCAAGTTTGGCTGGCCCTTTTTAGTCTTTTTGCTTAATATTTTGAACACTTCCATTTTCCTCTTTCTGTAGCATCTTTGAGCTTCTTCCCTTTCTTGTTTTCTTCTCTCAAATTCCTGAAATTATTAACATACGTAACTTTTCATTAGAAACAAACAGCAGATATAGTTCACAAATTGTTTTGAAATAGCTATCACCACGCAAACACTCTAAAGTTTGTCTCTTATATTCTGCAAAATGTGAATTGTTTCCCGTAATTGAAGCAATGTATCCCCTCTGCCTTCACACTATAATGATACATGGTATAACATGGAATAATGTAGTTATTAAACAATTTTAATCATTTGTATGTAAATGAAATTAGACTACAGAAGAGAGGTATATATCTATGTAATGATTTCATCATTTAACTAAAGCCACTGAAAAATTAGAAAGGACTTTAGATGTTATCTAGTCTAATTTTCCACATAACACTATACTTTTCCTTTCTAGAAACCTATGTCTGGTATTCTTTTTAATTTTCCATGTGACTAATTTACAGGTTAAATTCAGAAAACATTTATTAACTACTTACTATATATGTGAAAAACATTCTGCTAGTGATTATGATTTTGACCATTTAAGGAACTATCACGCTTATGTGACTTACTAAGATAAAGACCCAAGTTACTTTGAATATAAGGAAAAATAAACTCAGTTATATACAAACCTGACAAGCACTACTTGAAATGCACTACAATATTCTTTCTAAATTAAATATAAAAGTTAAACAGAAGTTCTTAAGTAATATAACAACATGTGCACAGTTTTTCAATTTCCCCTGTAATACACATAGCCCCGAAATGAAACAGCCTAATATTTGGATTGTGACTTAATAAAGCGCTTTCTCATATACCACATGTGAAATCATAGCACATCCCATTCTTTCAAAACTTTCTATGCTAGGTTATTATGTTCAACTTACAGATGAGGAGCTGACGCTCAGTAACACCAAAAGTGACTTACACAAGATCCCCAATAACTGACATAGCTGAGTCTCACATCCAGATTTTTTTAATTCAAAGTCTGTGGAATTTTTCATCATGCTATGCTACATCACCTAAAATTATATTCTCATATGTACAGTATTTAATTTATTTTAATAAGCATATAAAGATCTGAAACTTAATTGTGAATTTAGGTATATGGAGCCTGGTTTATTCCTATGGAAAGTAAAAAGTTTTTTAACATCCTTACCATCAATCATGGGTCTTTAAATAATCTCCTTAAAAATTTTCATTTCTCATGGGTAATGGTGTTAGCTTCTATATTAAAATCTGAAATCTTAAGTTCTGAGAAACTGTTAATATTCATGATCATAATACCCTATATTTATAAAGGAAAAATTTAAAAGGATACTAATTTATGTTTTACAACATAATGGTCCCTACTATGCTTCATCTGGCATACTATTTCCAAAGGTGGCAGATAGCAGATGGTTAGAAAAAAGCATAAATGTAACAAGCTATGCCACAAAAGTCTGGTATTTTCCATAGAGAATTGTTTTTGCTTCATCCTAGTCTGCCCCAGTTTAAGAACAATCACAAAAATTTTAGATCATAAACCCTAAGATTTCTTAATTACACATATCTAGACTAAAAACATAAGGGAAATTATGTCAGTGCCACCTATGACGTATTTTTGATTGATTTGCTATCCTTCTTAAGGTGACAGAATAATGAAGTTTCAATACAAAGAATAAGAATTAGCCACAGTTTCTATTAAAAGGTAATTTTGTTGAAGCTGTGGATAATTTTGTACTACTCATTTGGAAAAAGGCTGATTCTGGACTACGATTCTGTTTTTCTGAATGATTAAATAGAGCAATAATTTTTTGCTAGGTTAAAATAGTAGGTTTCTTATAGGCAAGACAACTCTTTACAGTGAAGAATATTTTATTCTAACACCTCCCCATGGAGGTGCTTCAATGTTAAGATTTAAAAAATCATCTATATTTTTCTCAGGTCAGTGGTTCACAAATTTCATTATACATAAGAATCTCTTGAGGCACTTGTTAAAAGTACAAGTTCTTGGACCATTACTCTAAGAAACATTAACCTATAAGCAATATCTTTAAAATCCTGACTTACTAGTGTTGCATGAGATAATATAAACAATCAAGGAATTTGAATATCATGCAATTCTCCAACTCTACTCAGACCATTCAAGAAATATTTACAGAGAGAATACTATGTACCAACCACTAAGAAGCACAGTAGGAATATACATTTAGGATAAATAAGGAAAATGTACCTTAATATTTTAAAAGTGAACTTACTTGCTTCTTAGCAGCACGCTTAGCTTGTACCTGTTCATATTCTTCTTGTGCTTTTTGATTTGATGTTTTCTTTTTATTTTTCTTTGGAACAGTAAAGGAGCTTTATAAAATAAATTGCAACAGATAAGTAACTAAGATTAAAAATGATTTAACCAAAATTATGATGCAAGTATACCAAATACAGTACAGTATTTGTATAGTAAAATCTCAGTAATGCAAATTAACTGAGAGGGGAAGAGACAAGGGAGAGAAAACAGAACATCAATCTTAGTAAAATGTCCAAATAAGATACTAAAAACATAGTTGCAGCTTTTAAGATTATAGATTAATTAAATAGAGATTCTTGGAGAAATATTTCAACCAGGGAAAATACAGAAAGCTTTGAAATGTTCTAAAATATTACAGAATTTTTAAAAAACCCACAAAACTTAGAAGAGGAAACCAGCATATCAATAACAGAAATGAGGTACTGAAAAAGGCATTAAACTGAAGGACATTTTAGAAGTTGTGGGTGAACATGAACTTTAACCTCAAAGTTCTTTGACCACCTCGTCTCTACTCCATTTCATCCTACTCATGAATCACCACACCTTAGACCTAGTCCCTATTTAGAACTGTTCTATATTGAAGTATTTCTCACCTCTCTGAAGCATTCCCCTTGCCAAGACTAATCCAACCACTTAGAATTCCATCCATTTCTTCAAGGTACCTGATTCAGTAATAACCTTCCTTTACCCTGTCTCTCAACTTTTCTCTATACTCACTCCATAATCATAATATAACATTTTTTAATTGCTCCCTTCATAAGGTAAACAAATGCATAAATTATCCATTACCAGACTATGTTCCCTTCTATCTACTAATCTTGTTTCATGACCTTTCATAGTCAAGCTTCTAGAAAGAATAGTGAATAGACTATGACTGTCCTTTCCCATTCATTCCTCAATATTTTGATACTTGATTTCTGTTCTCACCATTCCACTCAAACTGCCCATGACAAGACAGTGATGACCTCCTAGGTAAACATGATAATCATTATGCCCTTTTCAGCCTCTTTTAATTAACTATTCATTACTTTTGAAAATTCTACTCCCTTGGTTTGGGTGACATTCTTCTTTCCTGATCCTTTCTAATTGTTCCTTCTTGGTCTGTCATGCTAGAGCCTCTTTGTCTTTCTCCCTCCAGGTTTTTCCCCAATGTGTTTCTCTTCTTAATTTCCATGCTTTTTCTGTTTGGGACCCATCAGATCCATGACCATGGCTTCAGATGTCACATGTACATATAACTAAAGCTTAATCAGGGTTAAATAGTGAAAATATTCTCTTCAAAATCATCAGTGATTGCCTAGTCCACAAATCCAAAGACCTGCTCTCAGTCCTGTTTTCCTTGGACTTTATAGTATTTGAAAGTTGACTAATCCCTTCTTCTCACAACCGTCCTCTGCTGACTTAACTGAAACTGTGTTCCCCTCTTCTCCAGTTTTGAAAAGTTTAGTTAACTTCTTCAATAACTTTTTCCTGTTTGTACCTTGAAATAAAAAGTAATTTTTAAAAATATGATTTTTTACCTTCTTATCTTATGTCATGATTTCACCCTTCTCACTTCAATTATCATTGGTAATAACTCAAATCTACATTTCTAGTGTTTTTTTCCTGGGCTTTACACCCATTATATAATAATACGACAACAAGCCTATGGAACACACTGAACTTTCAGTGTCTCTGCCTTTATCCTCCACTACACTTTTTTCCTGGGGTCTTATTTTCTGTTATTTTTAAGAGAAATAGCTCACAATTTTAAAGGACAAAAGTTTAGTGAAGTTAAAAATTACAGCCCCAAGTAACACTTCCTTGCAAATTTGAATTTTAACATTTTTTTCCTTGAATTGTGTGCAGTTTCATAACTTAGCTCTTATAAAAACCAAAGTGTTGGAAAGGTGTCCATTTGTTTTTTAATTGCAACCCATTTTCTGTCCTCTGCAGAAAATTTGGATTAATAATAATAGTAATAGTAGCAGCTAACGCTTATTGAGCATTCAACGCTTATTGAGCATTCACCATGTATCACATATGTCTTTCAGTGCTTCGTATAGTTAACTCAGTCTTCACAACAAAGTCATAAAATACTTTAGGAATACTGTAGTCTGTGTGAATGACCCATTCTGGAGTTAAGTAACATGGAGGCTGTGAAGTCCATACTTATTACTATTGTCCCCATTTTAGAGGAGAGGACACTGGAGCACCAGTATATTAAGTCTGGCTCTACAATCCATGCTGTTAATGACTACACCTATAATACCTCTCCAAAAAATAAACAAATAAATAAATAATTTTTAAAAATATTAATACCAAGAGTTAACATATGGTTGAAGTAAGTTACATGTACTTAAGAGGCAGAAATTCAAAATCCAGATCTCTTAATCCCCATTTCATTACTTCTTCAATTAAGCTACACTAATCTAATTTAGTCATTTAAGCTAAAAACAAAGCCTCCATGAAAAATATATTCACCTAATTACACTGTAATTTCTAAAATGTGTTAAAAGAAATTCTAATTACTATACAAATTGTCCTATAATAGCTTTCAGAAAACACTACTTAAAGTAAAGGAATTCAAAAGAAGAAAATACATACTTTACTGTTCTGCTAAATTGTTCTTCTGGCTGAGGCTGGTCAATGCTACACTGATCTTCAGACAAAGCCTGGTCGATGCTACACTGTTCTTCAAACAAAGGCTGGTCAACTTTTCTTAGCTGTTTCTTGAGTCTTTCCTCTTCAGCTAAGTAGAGATGTTTCAGATGATCTGGATATCGATCTGTAAATTGGGATTCCTGTGATGTTTGAGACTTTTTCTCCTTCCATAACAGTTTCTTGTAATTTTGCTGAATCTTCAGTTTTCTTCGAAATGCAAAGCCTTGTCCTACAATGAGTATTAGTCAAAAATTACTTTCACAAAAAATGAGTTGAGTGGAAAATGAAGCCGTTAATTAAAAATAAAAACCTTTTAAAATCATCACATTCAGATGCTAGAATTACTTTATGTTTTGCTTTAGATTACTTCAAGCAACAAATTTAAGCAGAAAGACTGAATAGCAAGTTGACCCCTTGCAAAAAGACCAGGTTAACATTAGCCATATAGATACCCAAGTACCTGTATGAATCTTGAAGAAAAACTAACAAGCTCAGACTGCCGCACAACTTGAGTTTACAATTGTACTTACAAATCAAAAATTCCTTAGTTCCTCTAACACACTTACTTAATCTGGGTCTTCAACAAATACTTAAAAATAGAAAAACAAAACACACACATCTGTTACTTACCTTGGAGAAACTCAACTACCATACGACTAATTTTCGAAAATACTTCAACACAAAAGAAAAATAGAAGATGCTGCATGACTTTTTGAACAGCTAGCAATTATCTGAAGACCGAAATTTAATTCAGTATTTACACTTTCCAATAAGAGATATTAGAGACAACAAGACAAAAGGACAATCACAAACTAAAGCGAAGGAAAGGAAGCACGGTAAGACAAGACTGGAGGACTACTAAGGTGGGTGTACTCAGAAAGGCTTTGGACAGTACATTTCTGGTGGGTGTACTCAGAAAGGCTTTGGACAGTCCCTTCCTTCTCTCTATGCTCTGCCGTAACAAATGCGCAAATACGCACTCGTACACATAATACATACACAAGTGGACCCGTACACACTCTCTGCTTACGGTTACACATGAGAAAATGCAGAGGAAAAGAGTTCTGATGAAGAATGGGGTTAAGACAGGGGCAAGGATTAAAAACTTCAAGTTCGCAACGCTGCCCCGTCTTCCCACCCAGAGGTCTGTGAAGCTCAGGGCTTCAACGGGCTTAGAACGGGATTGTTCTGCCCTAAGTGGGGGTACATTTCTGGTCCCTTCCTTCTCTCTATGCTCTGCCGTAACAAATGCGCAAATACGCACTCGTACACATAATACATACACAAGTGGACCCGTACACACTCTCTGCTTACGGTTACACATGAGAAAATGCAGAGGAAAAGAGTTCTGATGAAGAATGGGGTTAAGACAGGGGCAAGGATTAAAAACTTAAAGTTCGCAACGCTGCCCCGTCTTCCCACCCAGAGGTCTGTGAAGCTCAGGGCTTCAACGGGCTTAGAACGGGATTGTTCTGCCCCAAGTGGGACCAGGTCTGGTTCCTACATCTTTCCGACATTCTGAGTGTGGCATATCACAGGACTTCGCAGACCTGAGGAATTGTAAACGGTTGCCGTCTTACATACCCTCGCGAACGCTCCCTACGAAGGCTTGCAGACGGTCAGGCCACCATGTCCTCTGTCTCACATTCTTGTTCCCGAATCCAACCGAAGACACTCCTTGGCCACGCGTCCCCAAAACCCCCGTCCGCCTCCTCGCTGCCGGACTCACTGGCGCCATAGCTAACCTAGCGCGTCGCCAGAAAACTACAGAGGACGCCCTCAAAATACGTCATCAAGCCGAAGCAATCAATAGCCAGGTAGAGTCCGGATCGGAGTTCTACTTATCCAGCCTGTGCTACTCTTTTGATCGAGCCGTCGCCGCACTGCCATGTTTGCGCCACCTACA